CCGCGGCCACCCCAGTGTAATTTGCAAGTAACAAAACTTTTCTTGAGAGAAAAAAAATCCAAAATTTAGGAGAGGGGTTATATTGCCTATAGATGAAAAATGACAAAGTCTGCAATTTTTCTCTCAAGGACGTTTTAGTTATTTGTAATACATGAAGTAGGGGGTCTGGTGAGAGAAGGTTAAGTTTGGTTTGGGGGCTATGTGTAACACCCCCCAAAATTGAGGGGGTAAAGTGAAATTGACCCAATTAGAAATGGTAAATTTATTGCATGAGAAATTATATGGTAGAATTGGAGTGCTTTTATGAGTGCATTCAACGTTTGACCATCGAAAAATTTCATAGAGGATTTTTTTTGTGATTAATTGACAATCGTTCTTTACGCACGTCAACGGTACCCAGAAAAAGAAAAAAGGGAAAAAAAATCCAAACGTCAATTTTCATTTTAAGTTTTGAACTTATGAACTTAAGAGTCCAATGTGAATTTATGGTGAAAGTTCTACACTATTGTGCCATATACATTTCTAGTTTAAATTTCTATTAATCAATCTTCTTCTCAGTTTTATTCTTAAAAAATAACTCTTTTTGGTTTATTTTGTTTTTTTCTTAAGTGATTAGGAGTGATAGAAAGATGATTTCCTTCGTTGATTTTGGCAGCTTCTACTATACGTGATTCCTACCACACATCCTATGTATTCTGATGCATGAAGATTTCCCTTTCTACTACATTTTTTTATTGCATACATTAGATATATATTTAATGTGGTGTAGTGGTGGATGTTTTCTGTTTGTGCTTGATCGGGGTATACACAATTTTCCTAACTTGTTGGGTTGAGCATCAAATCATTACTCTAAAAATGATGGAGGCAAGGCAAGATACTCATATAATGGGGACACGGTGTAAATAAAAGCAAAGAAATTATTTTTTTAAGCAAAGAAGTTATTAAAATTGTTAAGATGCAGATTAACAGATATCTCGACTTAGTTAACTCTAATGACAATATTCTCTGAGAAAAAAGAAAACTCCAACTACTTCATATTAATGGATGAGAGGGCCTTGTAAATTAATAGAGTAGTAACTAGTAAGCGCTAATTATTGGATGTTAGCGATTTGTGTTTAGAAGTTGTATGGGGTCAGAGAGGTTGTCATTTGGATTTTTTTTCCTAGTATTTTCTTCCTCTGTCTTTTTAAAGATGTAGAATTTTTTTCCCCTCAATTGGAGCGCACTAACATTTTGTATTGTTGTTTGTATGTTTATCAGATTGAGCTAAAAACAGCACCAGCTGATTTTCGCTTCCCTACAACAAATCAAACGAGGCACTGTTTCACTCGCTACATTGAGTATCACAAGTATAATTCATTTCATACCTAATCATTTGATGGTTGTAGAACGATGGTGTTAAGCATGAGACACTACAATCTTATGATGTTTGCAACAATGTTATAACTTCTCCTTTAAGTTACTAAGTCCATCAAAAATGCAGGTGTTTGTCTGCCAAAGGCGATGGCTCTGCTGAATGTGAAAGATTTGCTAAATATTACCGGTCCCTTTGTCCTGGGGAATGGGTGAGCTCCAATATTCAATGTCTTCATCGAATTTTGATTTTAGTAGTTGCTTGTTTTTTCTCCAGACAGTTCATATTCTCTATTCATCTGGATGAACCTTTGTTCTACTTTTTCATATAACATCAAGTTCAGTGCATCAGTATGTTTTTTCTACTTTTTGCGTGATATGTTTTTTCTACTTTTTGCGTGATATGATTTTTGAAGCTATTGCCAATTGCATGTTCACACTGTTATTGTAATATGTCTCCTCTCATTAAACTCCATTTCATTTAGCCATGACTCATGACCACTGAGTGAAGGGATCTCATGTACACAGATAAAATTTACACAAGCACAGCAAAGCAAGCCACTCGATTTATTTTCTAGTATGGTCCACTTAACTCTCAGTAATTCATTATAATTCATGAACCTCTAAAATTTGAAACACAAGACTAGCATTGGGGATTGAACTAAACTTGGTAAGAGCCGACGTCAGTTTGAACCAGTCACAACTGGACTTGGCCCAATCTTCTATAACATTTAGTTAGATTTGGGATGATAATTTCTCCAGGTGGACCAAAATGAATTTTATGCTTATTAACCTTTGTACTATAACAAGCTTTTATAACATTTACTTAGTTTGGGATGATAACTTTTCCAGATAGACCGAAATGAATTTTATGCTTGTTATAGTAAAATTCATCTTGGTGGATAACTATAATAAGCATAGTAAATTCCAGATGGAGAACTATAACAAGGTAGAGAGAGATCATAGTTCTCCACCAAAATGAATTTTATACACAGATGATGACGCACTAAAAGAGCAAATGATAACACAACAAAAAGGGCCAACTGTTTTGCGAAATCACATGCTTTTGCTTGCCAGGTATTTCATTGGCTCATGCCCTCCATTTATCTTACCCTTCTTTGTTCATGTTGTGTCTTTGAGTTACTTATTTGCTTCCATTTATATACAAAACTATATTTAGGGAAAAACATAGATAGGTTTCACTGTGAGAACTGAAAATCATTGAACTCTGTGAAAACTAAAGAGCTGAAGTCTATTAGTATTCATCTATGAAGCGAAGTTTATTCTTCTCCGGTATTTTAGGACATAAAGCAAGTGGAACTTCCATGAAAATTGGAATCTCATTCTGAATTCTTCTTGGGCAAAGCAGCTGAAAGATTACGCAACTTTCAATTCTCTTGTAAAAAAAGACATTCTTTTATATCTTGGTTGAGTTTATCAAACGATACTGTTATATATTTAATGATCAGATTCATCTAGATTCTAGCTATTTCATTATATATATTTTTTCATTCTCCTCGCATAAAATGTTATCAAAGTTTTTATTACTGTCATTTACTATTCTTTCTTCTCATAAGCCAGGTTGACAGGTGGAATGAACAGAGAGAGAACGGAAATTTTCCGGGGCCACTGTAATTCTTAGGCTCAGCAACCTGTTAGCAGCACTCTTTTCTTCTGGTTTGTATCTAGTCTTTTGGTTTTGTCACCTGAAAATATTGTTACTGTTATATATAAGTTGTTTAAATAAAAGGATAATGCATGTGTGGATATGAAAAACTCTACTTTTAACATCGTTATGGCCCTACGCTGATGATTGCATTTGCCAATACATTTACGTGTTGTACTGCTGACAAGTGCATTCTCCACTCAATGGGAAAAACTATCCTAATGCTTAGCACAGATTTTAAGATTTTAAAGTTGGTGATCACATTAATACAGTAATCAAAATGCTCTAATATAATTTTGATAGTTGTATTATAAGAGGATTTTACTTGCACCAATAGTAATTGCATTGATATTGTATACTGATTTGTATTGATTTAAAATCGTGGTGAGACATGTGTCACGGTCTCCTTTTATCTCCCTACTCCATTTATATACATATCACCCCCCCCCCCCCCCCCCCTACACACACAGCACAAACACAACAATAACAAACAAAACAAAAAAACCAACCACCAACGAGAGATAGGTGAGAACACACAAATATCTCATGCTAACTTGCATAAGATCAGATGTTACCACAAGAGGCCAATGCGGGTCTTATCAATTCAGACAATGGTGGAGGTATCCACTAACTTGAGTATATACTTCATGCAAGAAATAAAATAATAATGTGGAGACTTCTTTTCTCTGTTGTAATTATGATCTATTTTATGGAATTCTTTAATGTTGATGGTGGCCCAAATGCCTTACCCGGGTATGTTTATGCGTGCGGATATGCGGGTGGGTGGGTTGATAGGGTTATGTTAGGACCTCAATGCTGAGGTTGACTTTAATGGCCATTGTTGTTTCATAGCACAGATATCTGTTAAAAGAGGTTGGGACCAAAATAATGTGAAAGATGAGCCTCCACCTGTTACATCATCGTCGGATATTTTGGCACCGTAGGAATGAATGAAAACAACTAGGAATAATTTGGTCCACATATTATTGTTTAGCACATGTGAATGTATTGTTCAAGTAAATATGTATATGAATAATGTTAGAATGAACCATATACGATACTTATATCCAGGGCAGGTAGACTTTAAACATATTGTACAGTAAATGATGTATGATGCATCATTTCAAACTAAAACACCTTGACATAGTGCAACGTTTTGACTAGAAACAAGCGATTTATGATGAAAAGAAAGAGTAAAAGACTAAAATTAAAAATATAGTCTTTTTTCCTTCCTTGCTTTCAGTTTTGTTTATTATAATGTTTGTCTAATATCTAGTTAGTATCTCTATTTAATATAATTTTGAAATGTTTTCATCAGATCTCTATGCATTCAAGATAACAAATACAATTTCAGTATTAACCGTATTTGCTCTGTGTGCACCTTTAATTCTCAGGGTAAATTGATGATTTGTCATCAATTTTTCTGGGTCATCTTGTACCTTGCTTCTCTTGACAATTTAAACGGACAATGTGTAGAGGGCTTTGGATGAGGTTCGCACTTGAAGGTGCTCTTAATATTTCTTATGATTGCATGAGTTTTTATCCACAAGTCTATTCAGGGCATAATCTTTTGCTGTTGCCGACAGTTGGGTCTTTGTCTTGCCACCTTTATTGTCTCCATTGACTTCTATTGAAGTCAGTGAACCGCCATAGTTTCCAAGATTTTCCATTATCTGTCGAGCTATTTTGAAATAACCATCTTCTTTCACATAATACCAGCAAAGTAGACTTGTGTGCTGCCGTGACATTAGTGAGGAAAAGTGAAAAAAAAATTATAATTTAAGGGTTTCGTTAATAATTACACTGTATTTTTGAACACACAGAATTGCACAAACATACACACATAGCAAGTTGCAACGAAAAAAGTTAGCCACTTACAACGTGTATTAAACTCTAAATTCAAAGTGGATTTAAAGTTAATTCATCGAAGTATCTACTGTTTAAGAGCAGTTTTAGAAGTGAATTGAGTCTAAAAATAATAGGGGGTAGTGTTTTGGGTTTATAGGTGGAAAACCAGTCTACAATTTACTATCCCGCAACATTAGTATGAAAGAGACAAAAATAATAACAATTTGCACATTTGGTTTAAAAATACATTTTATCTAATTGCTTAGAACAAAAATAGAGCCAATAATAATAAAATAGCAACTTATATTGTATGTCAAATTGCTAAAATACAAAGTGGTTTAAAATTAATTTAATGGAGTATTTTGAATTTTGGAGGCAAGTTGATTTTAAAGTAAAAAAGACTTTAGCGTATCAGCAAAAATTCATCCACCGTTCCAAAGCAATAGCATTGATTTGGAAAGAAAAAACATATAACAATGTATTTCGGGTGCAAGAGTCATTTTTGAAGTGTGTGAGTTTAAAAGTAAATGGGGATAAAAATTTTAAATTTATAGGTGAAAAAATATAGTAGAACTTTGAAATTGGTGAATTTAAAAGTAAATGGATAGTTATCGGGTTTAAAGGCAAGTAAATGACTTTAAATGTGGCTGGGCTTAAACATAAATGGAGGGAAGCTTTAGGCTTAAAGGCAAAAGAACAATAACAAATTTAATTTAATGGAGTTAATGTAGCTATGAACAGTGCGCAGCTACTGTACAAGTCCCAATTATTTAGTATAGATACTAGTAAATAGAGACAAAGTTGACAATGTTTGTCTCTTTCAAGTTTCTGCTGCTCGTTTGAAGATCAGAAGATACATAGTAGTTCTTACATTTTACTGAAGGGTGGCACTAGGGTCACACCCCCAACCGCATCCCAAACCACACCCCTCTCATATGCTACAGTGCACCGGGCTCCGCATGAGATTTTAAAATTTTAAAATCTCATGTGGGGTCCGGTGCACTGTAGCATATGTGGTTGGGGGTGTGGTTTGGGATGTGGTTGGGGGTGTGCCCCTATCATTTTCCTTTGCTGAAAGCAATGAACAGTGCGCAGCTACTGTACAAGTACCAGTTATTTTAGTATAGATATAGTAGTAAATAGGGACAAAGTTGACAATGTTTGTCCCTTTCAAATGTCTGCTGCTGGTTTGAAGATACACAGTAGTTCTTACATTTTACTGAAAGCACTTCGCAAGTACAATATTTCTAAGAAGGGATAAATGCTTCTGGCCACCTAAAATTAAAAGGAGAATCTGTCTCACCGTCAAGACAAAATCATCGTGTCAATAACTCCTCAATTCATATTTTTATACTCCAGACCCCAAATCTAATGCCATCAAACTATTACTTTTCTTTTTCTCATTGTATCCTTACTACCTAGGACCCCTCAACCTAATCTTTTCTTTGGAAACACAAACCCCAAAAACACACATTTCTTTTTGCTCCATCTTTCAATTTTTCTAATATTAAGATTAGAAATTTTTTTCCTGTATGATGGTGGTAGACAACGCATCATCGTTAAATTTTCTGCTGCATTACTCGCCTCGGTCGCCACACTATTCATTTTTTGCTTTTGCCGAATTACCGTTTTCGTCGCTTCATTGCCGCACTTTTCTCCACCTTAGCCAAATTCACAGTCATCGTCGCTGAATTCATTGCATCCCCCTCCCTAAAAAAATACCACTACCCATCTCCTCTGCCACCACCAATCTCCTCATCGCCACTTCCTCGCAATTCTCTATTGCCACCACCACCTTGCATGGAGCCCCCACCACTACCTCCATGTATGACTGTATTAAAAATATCTTTTGTTAAATGTTTAAAATGTAAATAGTCATTGATGAATATTATCTCTCAATACTATCTCAGTTTCTGGACATAAGTATCCAGTCCATTTTGTTCTCAAAACCTTTCTATCATGTATGCACTTTTTGATTTGCTTGCATATCATCTCCACTAATGGTAAGATTCGGAAGCTAGATGATAATTGATTTTAGTTTTAGAGGATTGAGAATGAAGGAATTAGAAGGGAAATGAAAAGTTAGAAGGGAAGAGGCTAGCTTGAAGAAACTTTATTTTAATTGCTTCATAGCTTGTTTACATTCGTTGCTTATTTATAAGTACATATAGAACTATCTAGAGTATAGACATTTTACATGAAACATTCTAGAGTATTGTATAATATTCCTATCTTCTAAATATATCTTATTTTTGTCATATTTCTAGTCCTAGTTATTTCTAGAAACTTTCCATATTACAAGATTATTATAGAGAGTTCTAGAGAATTACAAATTACTTCTAGTGCCCCTCCTTAATTTGTAATTCCTAACTCATTTCTGAATAGTATAAACTTTTTAGAGGGTAATGTTTTTGTGAAGATATCTGCTAGTTGCTCATTTGTTGAGATGAACTCTAGCTCAATCTCATTGTCTTCAACGAGCTTTCTGATGAAATGATGACGAATCTCAATATGTTTGGTTTTGGCACGGATGACTGTCATGGCTATCGCAATTGAGAGTAGTTGATGACTCTTGTTCTTACTGTAGATTAGATAAAATCCTTTGAAGCAACACTGCTTCACATGCAGCACTTGTAGCTGAGATATACTCTGCTTCTGCAGATGATAGAGCTATGATCTGTTGTTTCTTTGAGGTCCAGGATATTACTTTAGATCCCATATTGAAGACATATCCTAAAGTGCTTTTGCGATCATCAATACAACTAGCCCAATCACTGTTAGTGTAGCCAGCTAATGCATTGTCTTCTTCTATTGTGTATTTTATTCCCATACTCTTTGTACCTTGAAGATATCAAAGAATCCGCTTCGCAGCTCCATGGTGTAGCTTACTTGGATTGCTTATGAATCTAGACAAAATGCTTACAGCGTACAATAATGTCTAGCCTTGTATTTATGAAGTAGATTAGCGATCCAACTAGGATTCTGTAACTTGAGGCATCCACCTTTGGCGCTCCATTGTTCATTGATAGCTTTTCATTTAGCAATGTTGGTGTAGCTACTAGATTGCAATCTTTCATGTTGAACCTCTTTAGAAGATCTTCGATGTACTTTTCTTGATTGATGAATATTTATCCTTTAGTTTGTTTTACTTGTATTTCCTGAAAATATCTCATCAATCCTAAATCTGTCATCTCAAAATCTTCTTTCATCTTCTTTTAAAATTCTTCAATTATCATGATGTTTGTACCACAATAAATTAAATCATCAACATATAGGCAAACAATAAGGAAGTCCGCACCTTTTTTCTTCACATA